CACTTCTGATAACATTCATAACACTAATTTTAAGTCTTTGCTCGACCCTGCTCTCCCCAGCTGTGACCTTCGGTGTCTTCCTCTCTCTTCCCGAGTTAGCAAAGATGCCAGTAAAACTTTCTAGAGCGCTTTCTTCTTCCATCAACCCTCCTCCTCGAATTGTTTTCCAGTTAGGGAATCACGTAAAAGCTCAGCAACATCCACAAAATGTAAATCGATTACCATTTAAGAACAAAATAGTTGAGACAGAGCTAGACGGAGCACACCTCGCCATGCTAAACAACGGGTAGCATCACGATATCCAGCTGAGGAAAGAACCACCTGCCTTTACGTGTCAGAGGATTGTTTTAGCTGTCTGTGTCCAGTTAGCTTAACAACCTTAATGCTGTGTGTTAGAAGCGCCACGGGACATAACGTAGGGACAACACGGGCGTGCTGAGTGTCGGTGCCCTCCCACGGCCACTTCTGTTCCTGATGAAAGGCTCAACTTTTGGTTTGGTTTAAAAAACTTTATTCCGAGTTCTTACCTCACAGTCAGGTTTACATGGAGTTTACATCTAGTCCAAGATGGCGCGGCCACGTCCAGACGCCTTCCTGACCGCTCTCTGTGTGCCTGGGTGTTGGACTTCCTCACTGGCAGAACTCAGGTGGTGAGGGTGGGCAGGTGCTTCTCCAACAGCATCACCATCAACACAGGAGCACCTCAGGGATGTGTCCTCTCGCCACTGCTCTACTCCCTCTACACTTCAGACTGTGTGGCCACCCACGGCTCCAACACCATTGTGAAGTTTGCTGATGACACAGTGGTGTTGGGTGCCATCTCCAACAACGATGAGGCGGCCTACATGGATGAAGTGAAGAATCTGGCATCGTGGTGCCAGGACAACCACCTCCAGCTGAACGTCAGCAAGACCAAGGAGCTGGTGGTGGACTTCAGAAGGAGTCAGCACAGAGACTACAAGCCCATCATCATCAATGGAGCTCCAGTGGAGAGGGTGCAGTCCTTCAAGTATCTTGGTGTCCACATCTCCTCAGACCTGACATGGGCTGCCCACATTCAGGTCCAGACCAAAAAGGCTAGGCAGCGCCTGTATCACCTACGACAACTGAGGAAGTTCAGGGTCTCTCCAAAGATCCTCAGGATTTTCTATACAGGCGCTGTGGAGAGCATCCTCACACAGAACATGACATCGTGGTTCGGGAACAGCTGTGTGAAGGACCAAAAAGCTCTCCAGAGAGAGATCCGTACAGCAGAACGCTGCTGCAGGATTGCTCTCCCCCGCTTCAGGACACCTACACCAGGAGATGCTGGACTAGAGCAGCGCAGATACTGAAGGACCCGTCCCATCCTGGCAACAAACTGTTCCAACTTCTGCAATCTGGTAGAAGGTTCCGCATCTTCCGGGCAAGGACAGAGAGACTCAAGAGGAGCTTCTATCCCCAAGCCATCCGTGCCCTAAACACACACACCCGCCCTCTCACATCATCTATAATTGACTGAGACAGGACTCTTCCAGACACTAAACCAAGGCACAATGTACATTTCAATTCCTCTAATTTTAAATATGTTTATATTGTCTATCCTGTAAAATAGTCAGATGTCTATTCTTATTAATGTACAGAATTCACCTGCTTGCTGCTACTACTGCACATTCACCCAGTGTATATACTGTATGTGTGTGTATATATATATGTATAATGTTCTTCCTCTACACCCCCCCCCCCCCCCCCAATTTTTGCACATGTCGAGGAGCGTGTCAGGCTACATTTCACTGTGTGTTATACTTGTATAACTATGCATGTGACAAATAATAAAGAACCTTGAACCTTGAACCTTGGAAGCACATTCTCACAGTGCAAAGCTGGCCGAGCGCCCCTGCAGAAGAGGCTCTTTGTCATAACTTTAGCTTCCTGTCGTATAAACACAGAGTCCCCAGTTCTGTTTGTTAGGTTATTTCTGACATCAACCTCTCTATTGGCATCGTTTCCTCTTCCCATTAAGAGTTTCTCCTCTCTGGTGGTAGGAAAGGTGGAATTTCAGAAAATGTCTTTTTGGCATCTTTTAGCGGGGACGCAAAGATCTGTCCTGGTTCCCGTCTGCAGCTCCAGGCTTTGGCCCTCTGTGTGAAAGGCACTGATGTAAATAGAAGTGTGGCATATTTATATAGGACTGGCACACTGCCTGATTGATCTGAAACATTACACTGACCGAGACCGCAAACACACACACACACACACACACACACACACACACACACACACACACACACACACACAAAGTCAATACCGTTGGACACTCACAGAAGCAGTAAACAGATGTATCGTACCACACATCTGCCATATGTCAAGAAGCACACCAAACCAGACCCCGCAGAGCAGAGGCCTTTTTAAACTGACCACGAACTCTGTGGTCAGGTTGTTATAAAGAAACCGAAGCTTTTCCTTATTTCCTTTCATGTACTTTACGTCATAACGATGGATGTTCATATTAAACTTGTAATGAGGTCGGCGTATGTGCGAGTAATCCCCGTCAGGAACAGAACTTCAGGATTTGGACTCTCAGCACTCCGTCTGCTCTTGGCTCTCTATGATTTTAGTGAGGGTGGATATCACCTTATATGGTAATCTTAGGCGTACAGCAACCCACCCACCTGCTGTTCAAACCTTCTGTTTGAAAAGAGCAGCCAATCAGAAGAAAGCGGGTTGAACGAGGAGCAAAGAGCTCACTTCAGACCTGATATAAGTGAGGATTATTTTGATTCATCAGTCAAGCACCTTTCAGTGTAATCGATGTTGTTCTCCAAAAGTTTAATCTGTTCATCTGGACGTAGCGTTTTGTGGGAGAAACGTTTCGTCACTCATCCAGGTGACTTGTTCAGTCTCAGCTGACTGCAGATAATTGATGTAGTGTGAGTACATAATACTTTATCTCACCGGCTCATGACTGATGCTGCGTATTGCTGTCCAGCTGTCACTAGTAGGAACTAAGAACAAATATAAGCGTTCACATGCTAAAGAACAAGATGTGAACAGTTTCTCTGAACGTCCACTGCGGGGCTGCTGACAGCGCTTATATTTGTTCTTAGTTCCTACTAGTGATGTGCGATACCACTGATTTCCTTTCCGATCCGATACCAAGTAATATTCAGGGTGGTATCGACGATACTGATCCGATACTTTGTACAAAAACTTATTTTATTTGTTGTATCTTAAATTATAGCGTCATAATGATTACAGGACATCAGATTACTTGTTCTTATCACTTAATAATGCAGAGTTCATCATATAGAAATAAAAAAACTGAAGTTGTGCTATTTGACCACCTTGCCTGCCTGTGAGAGACATCTGTCTCGCCCTAGCAGCACCTTTCCCTCTCCTCCTCTTCAGTTCGCCTCAACATAAGCTCGTCATATTCTGTGACATGATTTACTCTGAGGTGACAAGGTTAGTGATGTTGCCACAACCATACATGCCAACCCTCCCGATTTTTCTGGGAGAATCCTGATTTTCAGTGCCCCTCCCGAAAATCTCCCGGAGCCACCATTCTCCCGAATTTCTCCCCGGACAACAAAATTGAAAAACCATATCGCAGAATTCATAGCGCGGCCCAGCCAATTCCAGTTTCCAACAATGACGGCAGCTACTTAGTTTTAATATCACTCTTATTTCTCTTTCTGGGTCGCAAAAAAACTTTGAACATATTTTCAGGTGAGAATGTAGCTGTGTAAACTTCAAATATCTGAGCCCACACATCATCTTCAAACCCCCGCGGGCTTTCACTACTCGGGTTAAACATGATATATAAGTCACTTTGATAACTTAAAAATGTTCTTGTTTGGCTTTTTCAGTGTTTTATTTATTCGTGAGTAAATCGGTTTGGCTGAGATTAAAATGATTAGATTAAATTTAATTTAACTTTTTTAATCCCTCGGGAGGGTTACTCCGGGGTTTTACACAGCTGAATAAACGTCAAACAGAAAATGATTAAAGAGAAGTGTGAGACGGTCGAGAGTTTAAGTCAGCGCACGGTTATATTTTAGATAGCAAGGAGCAGACGGCTGAGTTTCACTACCCGGCTTTCTTTAGACCGCGAAGGTCTAAAGAACCCTAAGGCGGAAGAGGAAGTAGTTCCTTTGAATGTAGACAATCCGAATGATATAGTTTCTTTCCACTGTGTTCCTGTTAATGAGAAACTACAAATTTACCCTAAATTACTAAAATATCGATATTTTAATGTGAGAATCGATTCTAGAACATAAATGATTGGTATCGGAGGAATCGATATTTCAGGATCGATCCGCACATCACTAGTTCCTACACGTGTCTCTCTGACTTTACCGAGCTCTTTGCACTTTCTTTACTAGATTTCTTTTCAATTTGGATTACTTGGTTGTAAAGTAAGAACAGTGGGATAGACACAGGCCTGTAATACACGCACAAATGTTTGCAGCCGTGTTGGATCCTGAGTTGTGCCCATGCTGGAGGCCCGTTCGTTCGGGTTTATTTATGCATGGTGATGTTGTCTATCAGAATTGCCTCACACTGTTGCCTCAACCTGTATCTGTCTGTTTGAATCAACCTGTTGTTCGTGGCTGTCCGTCTCTCTGTTGGTCTTTGTCTCATTTGTCCATACGAGCGGGAGTCTACCTCGCTAACTGTCCCTGCGACCGTCTGTCGCTGTGCCCTTGCGTTAGGTGCAGTGAAAGACATTGTGGCATTTCAAACAGCAGCCTTAAATGTCAGGTTAGGCTACAGTTATGGGCCCGCTCCCTCCCTCCTCTCCGGTCCAGGCTCCACCTGTGCTTATCTCCATTTTCCTCTTTTGTATCCCACAAACGTGTAAAACACCTTTGCCGTGTGCTTTTAATCCACTTTTTTATCAGGTTGAGAAGCAAACCTGTGCCTGCACATAACTTTGCTGTTCACTTTGTTTGCCTGTATAATGAGCAGAGCCCAAGTATTTAACATTCTTTAATGCCCGTGCGTCTCTTTGTTTCTAGGATCATCCACGAGGACGGTTTCTCCGGCGATGACGTAAAGCAGTACAAGCCCGTTGTTTACAGCAACACCATCCAATCTTTGGCCGCCATCGTCCGCGCCATGGACACGCTGGGCCTGGAGTACGGAGACAAAGAGCGCAAGGTCAGCTCCCGTCCTCAAGCGTGCATACACGTTTCCCAAGCATGCCCAGCAGAACGTACGACACATAAATGACTCATTTTCCAAATACTGTCACCAACATTGTAGAGTGTGATGACAGATCACCATAAACGAGGGAAATGTTTTGTGATTTTTTTGTATTCTCACTTCTGTGAACTAAATAAGGCTCATCATTAAGCACTTAGCTCGTGCACCAAATTCCCAGCCTACGACTGACGCACGTAGCCACGGGATGGACCACATAACTGGGATAGAGCAGGGAGAGGCCGGCGTGGGCCTTGCAAGACAAAAGCACCAGGAGTCCAGCTCTTGTATCAGACCTGTTAAAGTATATGTGGCAGGACAACGATCTCTACCAGCTTCAGCTCCTCGATTTGACCTTTTTGAAGACAAAAATCTCTCCGTATAAAGTTGTGGAGGATAGCACTTAAATATAGCGCAGGTGTAAGACTGCCTGTGCTGTGGTCCCTGAATGCTGATAGCTGGTCTAAGCAAATTCAGGTGCGGCAGTTCAGCAACGTGGAGGACGCATAATCAGCGAGCCAGTGTCAAACCGACACAGACCTTCCCTACACATTTCACTCTTGACTGGTTGCAGCTGTGTCTAATGTAAAAAATATTCACAGCTTGTTCGTTTTCCCAGAACGTTAGATGCTGCCATCAAAGACAAGTTAGCATCACATTAGTATTCACTCAGAAAGCATCATTTTTCAGGGAACACTTTAAAGACGGTACGATCTTTAAAGACCGTACTGAATGACCTAACCAAACAATCCTAATGTGACCAAGGAGACACTGAAGGAAAAGTAAATGCCCGGTGAAAATGAGGGAAGACAAACCATCATGAAATGAAAAACACCAGCTTCCAAACAAACGCCGCCTCCTGAGGGACAAACGGATCATTTGCTTCACCACAAACTCCAGTGGCCTCTGAAGTCATGGCAACTTTGATGCTTTGGAAAGCATCGAGAGGAAAGCAGAAAATGATCAGCACTTGTTTTATATATATTTCATATTTTAATGTCTTTGTTTCGCTTGCTGAGATTGAGCAGCGATCTTGCATCTTTTATTTGATAAACTGTCTTCAGTTTATCGGGATTGGCTGTGAACGGACCCTGTCACGCTTGGGCCGAAATTCCTTCACACTAAGGCTCACACCGGGTCACTTTCCCAATTTTGCTTTAAGTTATAAAGTTATTTTATTATTTACATTTGGCCTAATATTGATCCTTATTGCTGCTTCAGAGGATAGTTGGAAATGTCTGTCAGAACCTGCAGAGTATACAGAACAAATAAAATGTTCACGTTGTCTTCCCAACAGTTTCACTGACATCTACACCGGATGGCCAGGAAGCGTTCGCAATGTCTTCTCCGGCGCTGATAATTGGCGTCTGTCTTGTGTCAGTGACGTAAAAGACGGATTTAATGCGACCTGACCATCAAACAGCAGTCGCTTTCTGAAACATCAGATATGTATCGGATTCAGCACCACATACCAAAGTGACCCAGATCGGCTTTGAAAATATCGGATTTGTGCCGTTCACACTGTCAGACCATGATCGGACAGATGGTCGCAGGGGGTCAGAAAAGTCGGATTTGATGCGCTTTCGCCTGCAGCGTGAACGTAGCCTTAGTCTTTCCCACTTCTCAGTCCTCTGAATCCTGAAGTATACACGTTCAGTATACGACCTGCTAATTGAGGATTATGAATCTAATCCACAGAAGAGGATCGGTTCTATCTGAACGCAGGGCAGCGGGATGAGGCTAATCAACCGCTCCTTTATACTCACCTCAGTTTCAGGTTCCAAATTTCTAATAAATCAGGTCATTAGACTTGTCAGGATGACTCAGGCACTAAAGAGTGCAGGAAATGCAGTCATGTATGGCACCTTCAGTTAAATGCTGAACATCAGCTCGTGGTTTTGAATGCACTGCTGTAGGAGCGAACACGTTTTCACTCAGCCTCACCTTCTCTGCTGGAACGTTTTGTTTGACCTCTGTCTGCACATGAAGCATCCTGATGTGTTTGTGTGATTCAGACGAAACACTGACACGCCCACTTTGTTCCTGATGTTGTATAAAAGTTCAAAGTGAAGATAAATGCTGCTGGTGTAAGTGTACATCATTAGCAGTTCTGTGTAGTTGTTGATGATGCGTCGCCATAGCAGTCGTGGTGATGATGTCACAGTGGTGATGATGTCACGATGACAGAATATCTGTCCTCCTCATCACTGCGTGAGCGGCACAGATTTGAACTGTAAGAACACATGCAGGTGACCTTAACCTTATCCAAAGGCGCGGTGTATTTTTAATCACAACGCTGCTTTTGATACTCCATGTAGAGGCTGAAATAACAATACACCTATTGATCAGGATATGCTGTGTGTGTGTGTGAGTTGTCTTTGTTAGACTATTGAAATGAGGACATTTTGGAAACGCAGTAGTGTGAGGAGTCAAGGTCAGCCATACAAACGTGTGTGTGTCTGTTGGAGGGTATAATATATCAAAGTATTGCGTTTCTATTTCGAGGTAAAGTGAACAGCCTCAGCTACATTGTTATTTGTACAGAGTCAATCCGTCCACCCAGCCAGCCGTCCAGCTGTCCGTTTTCTACCACTTATGCAGGTCATGGGGACGGCAGGCAAACCTCTCTCCTGCCCTCCAGCACCTAAAGCTCCTCTGGGAGACACCGAAGTGTTCCCAGGCAAGAATGGAGCAGTTTATGTTTTTGGTGTGAGAGTTGACATTTTGAAAAGTGTCTACAACAAGATTTCTGTGCTACACTACTTATCAGGTTAAAGTAACGTGTGTTACAGAAGGGTTGCAGGATTATAACCGGTTCTGAAATGAATGCAAAGTGTTGAAGAAGAGGCGTAAAACAGGAAAGAGGACAGAAGATCGATTTTTCAAGGCAAAATGGAGAAGTGACAGTGGACAAGAAACAGAATGAGCTGTGTTTACACTCCCCATCTGACTTCCCCACAAAGTAACCAGAGCAACATCCTACCCACATCAATAAAGGACGAGGGGCGAACGTGAACGTTTTTCATACCCGTATCCTTCAAGCTCTCCTCTTACTCTTTCAGCTTCCCCCTCTAATCCTGTGCTGGGATCGCGTATGTCAAACCTGTCCCGTCCTATCTTTTTCTGGTCTTTTGCTTGCTCTTCTGACTGCGCCCCACCCACCCACCAATCTGTTTCTCTTCGCTAGTTGCTGTGGCAACCCAGTGTTTTCCCTTGCTCTCAACACATTCCACAAGCCCGTGTCCAAGGGCGCCGTGACACATACACTTGGAGACGCGCACACACAAACTCACACGCGTATGCAACACATGCACACATTATGATAGCTTGCTTGAAATAGATCTTTGAGCACTTTTCACTCAGGCTTCACAGAAGAAGCTTCAAAGAGAAACCTCTTTGGTGTTAAAGCCTCTGCTGGTCCTTCAATAAAACTACAGTTTATGGCTCCGTGCTGTGACCTGAGGTAGTATACTATGTCTGTCCTTATGTACATACCAATCAGTCCCATTCTCGCAAATCTTAGGAACTATTTTTTTCATATTCAGTTCAAGCAGGGATGAATGTAATCTAGTGATTAAGGCCAAGGACAACTGTATGACAGTAATGATAGTTTCCAGAATTCTCTCCTGCAAACACAAAGTCTAAAAAAAGTAGTTAAAGCTTAGGGCAAGGGTGGGGAACTCCAGGCCTCGAGGGCCGGTGTCCTGCAGGATCTCACCCTGGGTCAGCACACCTGAATAAGACGATGAGTTCATTACCAGCCTCTGCAGGACTTCAAGACATGTTGAGGAGGTGATTTAGCCATTTAAATCAGCTGTGTTGGATCAAGGACACATCTAAAAGCTGCAGGACCCTCGAGGCCTGGAGTTGCCCACCCCTGCTTTAAAGTCAAAGTCAAATTTATTTATATAGCACATTTAAAACGACAACTGTTGACCAAGGTGCTGTATACAATTTAGGCGAATGCTTTCACCTGTATCGTCCTCTGTGTAAAGTTCCCCTCCATTCCCAGACCAACTTGTATTTAGAGATAATGTCCTACGGGATGCATTGGTTAGTTGCATTTAGATCCATTACTCCAGCAGTAGCAACAGTGCAGTATTTAAAATACGAACAGTAAAATATGGCATTTTTCATCCATCCATGTGTTTTTTTTGTAACCGCTGTTGTCATTTAGGGTCCCAGGGTGCTGGAGTCTGTCCCAGCCGTCACAGGGCACAGAGGCACATCCTGTACAGGGCGCTGGTCTAGCACGCCGTTTGCACTCATATTCACACATGGCCTACTGCGTGTCTTTATGATAAGCTGAATCATTCCACTGGTACAGCCTATGTTCTCTTACTTCATGCTGGACGTGTTTGTTGTGTTTGAGGTTGGATGGTGATCCCTGTGGAACCAGTGCCAGTGTTTTCCAGGGTGAGGTATGGATGATGGAGATCGCCCGACCATTCTTCTTGGAATAACATCAGCAGACCTTAAGTGTCTGCCTGGAGCAACCACTCGGGATTTTTTTATTTATTTTTGTTCGAGCCACAAATAATCAGCCTGTGCTTTACTCGTGGATTTGCCTTAGGCTTCATTTTCTGTGTCGGTATATAAAACTAAATGAAGTCAGAGGCAGTAGGGCAGAAAGGCCACTGTGATTGAGATCAACTCCACTTCAAGATATTCATTAACATTTTATTGTTTCAGCAGGGAGGGGTGCTGAGCGTAGCTAGGACAGGACACACATCCTGATTTTATAACCTCAACATTTGATAACAGAATCAGCAGTTAAAGTTAAAGACAATGACTGTACTGTGATTTCTGCCATACTTAAATATACTCAGTAAATGTACTTGTAATCTCTCCTCTCTGACGTAACACAGTATCCAGAGGGAGATGTTCCTGCTGCCGGGCAGCAAACTTTGACACTCGAGGGGCAGTGCTGCTGACGTTTGACTTTCCTCAGCTGTCAC